GGAACTTTTTGCTGCTCAAGAACAGATGAAATTCCCTGTAGCTACTGTATTGGAGAAGAATTGCATGATCATTGCATTTCTAACAAGGTTCTAGACAGAGACTTCAGTGGTAACCAATTCGCCTTGTGCTGACCGCAATATTTCCCTAGAAACATCAGTAAGTATTTTGGTACAACATAGTCAGGAATGTTTGCTGCAACTCACCGAATATTGCAATTCTGCTAGCCAAGTCTTCTTTCTGATCTTCACCAACCACATTCTTCATGGGCTGTTCGTACAGAACGCTAAGGTTTTTTGCCGGTATCGTATTGGACACAATCATTGTACTTCCATGAAGATCTCCAATTTCATTCACGAAATCATTTATGTCCGGATCTCCCCTTAAAAGAGCTATACTTCTCCAATAGATTCATACCGAGTATGTGAAGGAGCGTTCATGATCCGCTCAGTTTTGACTTGGAGGCAGCGCCCGCGTTCACTCGATGTTTCCATGCCTTCTCTGGATATCCTACCCTTCGTACAAGGGGGATGTACCAATTTCGCAGCTCAAAAATACAACAAGAAAGCACGCTCGCTCGTGTAGAGGCTGCCGCTCCGCCCACTGCCCACCTAAGGCGGGCGGGCGGCTAACTCTTCAAGAGCGAGGGTGCTATGTCCTTGTATTTAGGCAGCGAAATTTGTGCATCCTCTGTTTGTACGAAGGAGTACGATATCCAAAGAAGACGTGGGAACATCAAATCGACGCAGCTCTGCTTTAAACGTGGGCGCGGGCGCGTACGAATGGGAACATAAAAGCAGTTGGCACGATAAATTCCTAAGATGAGTAGGACAGATACCGCCTAGCAGGACGGAATTCCGCGACCCTGAGCAGGCGCTGCGTAGCGCCTTTTCCAAGAAAGGTACCCTTATAAGGCCCTATCAAGCTACAACATACCGACCCGAACGCCCACCACGCCCGCCCGCCCACAAATGGACGACCGTACCTGGTGCTCGTATTGCTTCATTTGCGAAGTAAAATATGAAGCGAAGGGATTGATTAGAAGTGGCCGCGGTGCAGCATGGATATATGTCCATACATGCAGCCGTACTTTCTTCAGCGCTTGCTGGCAAGATGACTACGGGGAACTCGTCCAAAATTGCTTTGTTTGTTTATTAGAAAGGAAAACTCCTGGGCAGGTTTCTGACCATCTCACTTCGTTCTTCTCAATTCCCACTATATGGCGCCCTTCTAGCATTTTGGGAAAAGCACCGTTATCGTGCCAACTGCCTTTCGACTTCTTTGAATCACCGCTCCCCCTCGTAAATTCTTCTAGATTAGAAGACAAAAGATGTCAGAGATGAGAGACAAAAGATTATAATGATTAAGATACTGCATGAAATCAAATCAATGCCAACTACCTAACCATGAGTGGACCACAAAAGGAGTGCAATTCTCTGCAAAGGTGTTCCTACACATGAGCCCATGATTGTGACAAAACAAGACAGGCTAACCGTATCGATAAAAGAAATATCTAGAATTGATGACTAACGTGTAGTTGACATGTATGTCTGATAAGAGAAAAAACTAACAGCTCAACTTTGCACGGCACGAAGTGCACAAAAAGATCATTTTTTCGTCCTTCGTCAGCTGCTTGAACTTCTTGATTGCTCTGAAAGATGTTTGTTGATTAACAAAGCCAAACAAACTTCACTTAAAGAGCTCTATATCTTTATTACGCCCAACTTAATTCGTAGTAGTGGGACTTCTAGGAATCCTGCACTTAAATGCCTTTAGAGGTAATTATACATTTACCCTGTCATATGGTGGGCACATGACGTTCCAGGAGGGTTGGTTTTATTCACAAACTCTCGTATCCGTGGGAAAAAGTTTCATACACTCTCCTCTAGTCAATTTCTATTTTGGTTTTCGGAATGGAAACATTCCAGTGGAAAGGATGATAAGCTAAAGGAGATACTCACTTCGAATATTTAATGTTGGGCAGGACAGTTTAACATTCAGCAACATAAGTTTTGACAGACATTTAAAAAGTCTCCGAGCGGCCTCATGTTAGCTTGCATCCACACCGCGTTCAGTGAACACCATCGACGGCGGTCGAGGCATTGCTGTTGTAGCCGCAACTCCGCTTCTCTTTACCTTTTCCTATTGTATGCTTACAGTTACACTCGAAATCCCAGAGATGGGGTAGGCGTGGCTGCGCTTTTCAACTAAACGTGGTCGTTACCGTGCTTTTGGAGAAATATTTCCATTTTGACACAATTGTGGTCGTGTCTCTATACAATACAGAGCAAGACGACAGTTGTCTCAAACTGAAATATCCCACGAGTGACACGTTCTGTGCCATGCTCAAATGCCACGCCTACTTCATCTCAGGGATACGGAGTATACCTACCTACCTCCCTATATGAATCTCTAATGTTTATTATTGTTTACCTACCCAAAAGCAATTCTACTATTTATCAGTTAGCACCTGTCCCCATGGTACTACCTGCTTTGATTTCCCAGCGTCTCAATCCCAAGGTCATTATTCGTGTTGCGATATGAACCACTTTCCAGAATCATATCCAGCTTTTGAGCGTGTTACTTTCGCTAGGAGTTGGATCGATGATGAATTTCTTCTAGATCCTATTTCACTGTTTCAACTCTTACATTCAAGTTCATGAATTAGCAAATAAGAAACTTCTAAACCACTCAAGAAGGTTTCCCGTGGACGAATTTAACAGGGCGTCAAACAAGCGCCTATCATCTGCAGTAGAAGGGCCCTCTCGCTCCTCACCAACGTCATTCATCCCCATCACCGCTACTGCTTCCCAACTTTTATACGCGCTAATGCTGTAGAAAAAGATCCACGTCTTCGAGTACAATGTGCGGGCTGAAGAGTTTACAAAGTACACCACCGACACCTGAACCGATTAGGATCACAAATCATGAAAAAATCATAAATAATCATTTCCCTCTAGAGTGCTCTATAGCCAAGTACTAGGTTCTTGTTCTTTCTCTCCGTCCACATTAGATCACCCTCCTGCCACTGCAGATGTGGTTCTCCCATCCTTCCAACCTCTGCTCCCTTTTACTCGATTTTTTCCACTCTGTAAGTTTTTATGGGTCAGAATTACGTGTTTTTGACTCCGACTACGCCTGCAGTATGTATGTCTCCTTATTCCCATTTGCTGACCACTCGCTAACCTTGATTCGCTTTTTGTCTCCTTATTCCCATTAACTGACCACTCGCTGACCTTGATTCGCTTTTTCCCAGCACTAGGGCCGCTGTAGAGCCCGTATACGAGTTTCTACTTTGACCCGCCCACCGCGATGCACGGACTGTTTTCCCCAGTTCACAACCCCTACACACACCTCACGTACAGTCGTCATCCTTGCACTTGATAGTCAATGTCAGTGCGGCTGCGTGCGGCGCGGTCGCCCGCACCCGTACTGCACCAATCGTTGAACCAGGAAGTGACATTACTGTATTATATCCTTCGTGTTACTCGTTTTCTATCACTTTTTGTCGCATACGCGTTTCAACGAAAAGGCTGAGAAGGCTTCAAACAGTGTGCACGCTCCTTCTCGCCGACACGCCCCTATCAAGTGCAAGGATGACGACTGTAGCTGCGTTTACTTTGTGCAGCGTACGCTAGCGTACGCTAGCGTTTCCAGCGTTCGGCAGCGGCAGTGGCAAGGGAAGGATGGATATCGATCTAGCGTCACCAGCGTACGAGCGTAACGCGCTAGATTATTCTAGCGTACGCCAGCGTAACGCTAGAATACCAGAGGACGTCACTGGTTGGGGATTTTGGTCGAGTCCGTACGACCACCCCCCCCCCCTTCTAAAATGTGGATCGATACGATCCCCCTTCTGAAATTCGTTGTTTGTTTTTTTTTGCCTTTTTATTTGCGTTTTCTTCCAACACCTACGTGGAAGAAAACAAGTGCCAAGCTAAAAATTCCCCTGGCTTCTGAGCACCTTCCAGCACTGAACATCACCCAGCCGAAGAATTTCTGTACTAGTTAATTTCCAAACATTCCGTAGGTACACAAAACACGATCCCAGCAAAACTGCTCACTCTATCTACGGGAATTCAGTTAAGATGAACTCCGGTGTTTTAATACATGTGTTACTTCAGTTAAGATGGAGAACCATAAGGCCCGTCTTTAAATAGGTGGAAATTCAAAAATTATAACGATTTTTCACTATTTTCTACCACTGCGTGTTAAGTGAGCGAGTTAGGGATCCTCACCCTCTTCGGAAACTCCTGGTAAAGAGAATCGCTGTGTTGATCTACACCGCACAGGATGCTGTGCTCCAACCTACAGACTGTTGTGTTCAAATTCGCGCGCGCGGGAAGAAGTGGCAGCCATGCCATTTGAATACCAATGCGAACGCCGCGTCCGCGCTTTGACTGCACTGAGCGCGTTTTTTTCAGACCCTTGAGTAAACCAACTTGTCTTTGGAGGGTTATAACTTTCTTTAATGCAGAGTGTTAGGAAAGAAGAAAACGCAGTCGTGTCAAAAAAGATTTGGGCTTCCCGAAAAGTACTATAAGGTTGCCAAGTTCAGAGAGAAATTCAGCGTTGGGGATGGGTTGGGGATTTTCAAAATTGGATGCAAAAAGACCAAGACTGTCCTGGTTTGAACGAATATAATCTTCTAAAAACTTAATTGTTTGCAAATCTGGACCCAGCGTCGAATACTAGAGGATTCCTTCTTCCCATAACCACTTCACTTGTTTCTGAAGTTTTCGGGATTCATGAGAAAAACGCGTGGGGATTTTCTGAAGATCACTCAAAGCTGCTCACAAAAAAAACCCGTTTTCTGTGTACCGTTTCAAGTGGGCGTACTTGGATATCCAGGAATGCATCTAGAATGCATCCTTCGTAGAATAGGAGCAAGCAGTAGGTGTTTTAGCGCCCATTAGCTTCATTTGTGGATGCGCCATGCTTAGGCTCCCACGCATAGGTAAGGGATGGTGCAAGTTCCACCCATAGGTAGTTGGATGGTGCAAGTTCCACGCAATGCCTGTCTCTCCGCCCCATCATTCGCAACGGAGAACGGCACCTGCACGCTGTTACATCGTGCTCCACTATTGCTGAATCCGATAAAGGAGACCAACTGCTGGAAAACGTCTGATACGAACGATATGGTAGTCTTGTCGTTTGTCGAAAGAAAAAAAAAGGTTGGCGCCGTACCAAGCGCGGTCGCTCGGACACGCCCCATCATCCGCAGCGAACCAGGGTATGAGATGTACTGTTTAGTCATCTATGTACTTACGAAATGATGCCAACTTATTAATGTTTCCAGTTAATTTGGATTAGTTCAGTTGATGAAAGTTTTGTACTATTTTTTTTACATCCGGGTTCTCTACAAAGCAAGTTTCGCTATACAGGACCAGCATACTGACACCTTTGCGCTGCTCGTTACTGAGTGGGGGACTAATTACGACCCCCCTCTCCCAGCGGCCAAATACGACCCCCTGTTGGGGAATCCCCAACAACGATGTGCTCCGGTGGAATACTCAAGCGTTACGCCAGCGTAGCTTCGATTACGCGTGCTGTGAAATTTGCAACCGCACCGCAGTACTAATACAGTACAGTAAATTGGTTAAATTGCATGAAGCAATGGTTGAATTGCATAATATACAGGGGGGGGCAAAAAAAAGTCATTCCGGCCGAGTCACATATGAGCGAAGTTTTCGCAGCCCAGACAGAGGAAGTGGATATGAGTACCAGGGCGGAAGATACCCAAGATCTTCCTCTATAAGCAGGAGCCGGCTGCCGCCATTCACCTTCATGTACACCAAAATATGAAGTCATCTCCAGTCGCGGCCTGAGTGGAGAACGCCTTTGGAATTCACGTGGCCTCCAAACAGCTGCGGAACTTCTTGAATGGAATCACCCATGGATAGCTACCTGGAGACCAGTACTCTTGATCTGCAAGACCTCAAACATCGAGCAGCTCCGGCAACGTCGCTACGGTCCAGGACATCATCTTCACCCCATTCACCAAGGCGCGGGTTGATGGTGTGGACCGGCCGTACCTGGAATGGATGAACCGATATTTTCTTCGTGGGCCCCAGACTGAGGGTGTGCGCTGGTGGCTACATCGAGCAACTCGAGGAGAATATCCCATCTTCATGTCGTCGCCCGTACCTTCTTGGAAACTTTGTACTGCTACAGGATTGGGTGACAACACATTTAATCGAAGGGCGTTGGAAAAACTTTCGCCTACTTGGAATGGAAGAACGTTGAGTACCTGGAAAAGATGGAGTATTTAAGCGGGGTCCTGAACTAAACCCCCTCAATTACTCGGTTCGGGCGGAGCTCAACAGGGTGGTCTACAGTGGCGGAGAAATCAACGATCTCGCTCAACTCCGGTACCCACTCACTTTCGCGCGGCCGAATCTCTCGATGGCGCTCCTCCAGAAGGCTGTGGCGGAGTATCATTATAGTATTTAATGTGCTCTTTAATATGGTAGTAAAAATGTCCGATAAAAATTTAATAAAGTGTAACTTATAGCGCCTTGAAAGTCATGGAGGCAAAATGACTTTTTTTTTTTGCCCCCCCCCCCCTGTAGATGCAAAGCATGAGCCGCTCATTTCTATCATCATTACGATGAGTCTGGTACTATCTGGGATCTTCTATAGAATGAGCGTGTATTTGTCAGCCGCATATTGGACCAGAAACCCTTTATACATTATTCAAATCAGCCCTTCAAAAGGAGATGGTACCCGCAAAAGCCATCAGGTCATTTCAATTCCGATGCGACAATGGAAAAAACATTCCGTTCCAACAGCTAAACCACACATTTATGCAATTTAACGAAATTTAGTGCACGGTACTAGTACTGCGATGCAGCTACACACGCCGCAATCTCTCTGTACGCGCGATCGAACGCTAAAACTAGGTACGGAAGAACACTCTAGCGTTGTACAAGCGTGCGCTCGTGACGCTTGATCGATGCTCATCCTTCCCTTGGCACTGCCGCAGCCGAACGGTGCAAATGCTACGCTAGCGTACGCTGCCGCAAAGTATAAACGCAGTCTTACACTCATCATGGGGACGGCTCTGACACCGATTCACAAATTTTTGATTCTGATCCCGCCTACCATAGTGCACGCCCTCCCACGAAGTGTGTTTCTCCCCTCCTCGTCCGCTGACCCCTTTCTGACCACTACACACTGTCTCGCCGTCTTGGAAGTGCTGGAACTGAGCACTTTTTTTTGAAACAAGTACTTTCGTTACTTCGTGATACGCACGCTCCACCCACTGTAGGTAGCACCAAACAAACTACAGACGAAGTCACTCCGTGCAGATGTTCTTCTTCTCTATCCTCTTTAGACAATTTTTGAGCCCTCTCGTGAACCAAGTCAGGGAACTTTTTGGGAAGCACTCCCTACCATTGGAAAGCACTGCCTATCACAAGTACGCTCTCGCATTTCGGATGTGTTTCCCACACGGGGTCTGTCAACTCGTTGCCGACCTCAGTCCACTTTATCTGCATCTCTCGGATAGAAAGTGGAACCGAATCATGGATCTTCCTTTGTGACGCCGCCCACTCTGCTTGGGGCTCAGCATAGTTCACGTATGCCCTGTACATCCTGCCTCAAGTCCTATTCATCCCAACCTAAACCCGTCCTCTGCCAACCGAATTTCTCGGACAAGC